GAGTGAGTGAGACGGTGAGTGGGTGAGTGAGACGGTGAGTGGGTGAGTGAGAGCGGTGAGTGGGTGAGTGAGACGGTGAGTGGGTGAGTGAGACGGTGAGTGGGTGAGTGAGACGGTGAGTGGGTGAGTGAGACGGTGAGTGGGTGAGTGAGACGGTGAGTGGGTGAGTGAGACGGTGAGTGGGTGAGTGAGACGGTGAGTGGGTGAGTGAGACGGTGAGTGGGTGAGTGAGACGGTGAGTGGGTGAGTGAGACGGTGAGTGGGTGAGTGAGACGGTGAGTGGGTGAGTGAGACGGTGAGTGGGTGAGTGAGACGGTGAGTGGGTGAGTGAGACGGTGAGTGGGTGAGTGAGACGGTGAGTGGGTGAGTGAGACGGTGAGTGGGTGAGTGAGACGGTGAGTGGGTGAGTGAGACGGTGAGTGGGTGAGTGAGAGGGTGAGTGGGTGAGTGAGACGGTGAGTGGGTGAGTGAGACGGTGAGTGGGTGAGTGAGACGGTGAGTGGGTGAGTGAGACGGTGAGTGGGTGAGTGAGACGGTGAGTGGGTGAGTGAGACGGTGAGTGGGTGAGTGAGACGGTGAGTGGGTGAGTGAGACGGTGAGTGGGTGAGTGAGACGGTGAGTGGGTGAGTGAGACGGTGAGTGGGTGAGTGAGACGGTGAGTGGGTGAGTGAGACGGTGAGTGGGTGAGTGAGACGGTGAGTGTGAGTGAGACGGTGAGTGGGTGAGTGAGACGGTGAGTGAGTGAGTGAGATGGTGAGTGGGTGAGTGAGACGGTGAGTGGGTGAGTGAGAGGGTGAGTGGGTGAGTGAGACGGTGAGTGGGCGAGTGAGACGGTGAGTGGGTGAGTGAGACGGTGAGTGGGTGAGTGAGACGGTGAGTGGGTGAGTGAGACGGTGAGTGGGTGAGTGAGACGGTGAGTGGGTGAGTGAGACGGTGAGTGGGTGAGTGAGACGGTGAGTGGGTGAGTGAGACGGTGAGTGGGTGAGTGAGACGGTGAGTGGGTGAGTGAGACGGTGAGTGGGTGAGTGAGACGGTGAGTGGGTGAGTGAGACGGTGAGTGGGTGAGTGAGACGGTGAGTGGGTGAGTGAGACGGTGAGTGGGTGAGTGAGACGGTGAGTGGGTGAGTGAGACGGTGAGTGGGTGAGTGAGACGGTGAGTGGGTGAGTGAGACGGTGAGTGGGTGAGTGAGACGGTGAGTGGGTGAGTGAGACGGTGAGTGGGTGAGTGAGACGGTGAGTGGGTGAGTGAGACGGTGAGTGGGTGAGTGAGACGGTGAGTGGGTGAGTGAGACGGTGAGTGGGTGAGTGAGACGGTGAGTGGGTGAGTGAGACGGTGAGTGGGTGAGTGAGACGGTGAGTGGGTGAGTGAGACGGTGAGTGGGTGAGTGAGACGGTGAGTGGGTGAGTGAGACGGTGAGTGGGTGAGTGAGACGGTGAGTGGGTGAGTGAGACGGTGAGTGGGTGAGTGAGCGGGTGAGTGGGTGAGTGAGACGGTGAGTGGGTGAGTGAGACGGTGAGTGGGTGAGTGAGACGGTGAGTGGGTGAGTGAGACGGTGAGTGGGTGAGTGAGACGGTGAGTGGGTGAGTGAGACGGTGAGTGGGTGAGTGAGACGGTGAGTGGGTGAGTGAGACGGTGAGTGGGTGAGTGAGACGGTGAGTGGGTGAGTGAGACGGTGAGTGGGTGAGTGAGACGGTGAGTGGGTGAGTGAGACGGTGAGTGGGTGAGTGAGACGGTGAGTGGGTGAGTGAGACGGTGAGTGGGTGAGTGAGACGGTGAGTGGATGAGTGAGACGGTGAGTGGGTGAGTGAGACGGTGAGTGGGTGAGTGAGACGGTGAGTGGGTGAGTGAGACGGTGAGTGGGTGAGTGAGACGGTGAGTGGGTGAGTGAGACGGGTGAGTGGGTGAGTGAGACGGTGAGTGGGTGAGTGAGACGGTGAGTGGGTGAGTGAGACGGTGAGTGGGTGAGTGAGACGGTGAGTGGGTGAGTGAGACGGTGAGTGGGTGAGTGAGACGGTGAGTGGGTGAGTGAGACGGTGAGTGGGTGAGTGAGACGGTGAGTGGGTGAGTGAGACGGTGAGTGGGTGAGTGAGACGGTGAGTGGGTGAGTGAGACGGTGAGTGGGTGAGTGAGACGGTGAGTGGGTGAGTGAGACGGTGAGTGGGTGAGTGAGACGGTGAGTGGGTGAGTGAGACGGTGAGTGGGTGAGTGAGACGGTGAGTGGGTGAGTGAGACGGTGAGTGGGTGAGTGAGACGGTGAGTGGGCGAGTGAGACGGTGAGTGGGTGAAGTGAGACGGTGAGTGGGTGAGTGAGACGGTGAGTGGGCGAGTGAGACGGTGAGTGGGTGAGTGAGACGGTGAGTGGGTGAGTGAGACGGTGAGTGGGTGAGTGAGACGGTGAGTGGGGTGAGTGAGACGGTGAGTGGGTGAGTGAGACGGTGAGTGGGTGAGTGAGACGGTGAGTGGGTGAGTGAGACGGTGAGTGGGTGAGTGAGACGGTGAGTGGATGAGTGAGAGGGTGAGTGGGTGAGTGAGACGGTGAGTGGGTGAGTGAGACGGTGAGTGGGTGAGTGAGACGGTGAGTGGGTGAGTGAGACGGTGAGTGGGTGAGTGAGACGGTGAGTGGGCGAGTGAGAGGGTGAGTGGGTGAGTGAGACGGTGAGTGGGTGAGTGAGACGGTGAGTGGGTGAGTGAGACGGTGAGTGGGTGAGTGAGACGGTGAGTGGATGAGTGAGACGGTGAGTGGGTGAGTGAGACGGTGAGTGGGTGAGTGAGACGGTGAGTGGGTGAGTGCGACGGTGAGTGGGTGAGTGAGACGGTGAGTGGGTGAGTGAGACGGTGAGTGGGTGAGTGAGACGGTGAGTGGGTGAGTGAGACGGTGAGTGGGTGAGTCAGACGGTGAGTGGGTGAGTGAGACGGTGAGTGGATGAGTGAGACGGTGAGTGGGTGAGTGAGACGGTGAGTGGGTGAGTGAGACGGTGAGTGGGTGAGTGAGACGGTGAGTGGGTGAGTGAGACGGTGAGTGGGTGAGTGAGAGGGTGAGTGGGTGAGTGAGACGGTGAGTGGGTGAGTGAGACGGTGAGTGGGTGAGTGAGACGGTGAGTGGGTGAGTGAGACGGTGAGTGGGTGAGTGAGACGGTGAGTGGGTGAGTGAGACGGTGAGTGGGTGAGTGAGACGGTGAGTGGGTGAGTGAGACGGTGAGTGGGTGAGTGAGACGGTGAGTGGGTGAGTGAGACGGTGAGTGGGTGAGTGAGACGGTGAGTGGGTGAGTGAGACGGTGAGTGGGTGAGTGAGACGGTGAGTGGGTGAGTGAGACGGTGAGTGGGTGAGTGAGACGGTGAGTGGGTGAGTGAGACGGTGAGTGGGTGAGTGAGACGGTGAGTGGGCGAGTGAGACGGTGAGTGAGTGAGTGAGACGGTGAGTGGGTGAGTGAGACGGTGAGTCGGTGAGCGAGAGGGTGAGTGGGCGAGTGAGAGGGTGAGTGGGTGAACAATGTGCATGAGACAAAACAATCAGTCCGTTAGAGTCCTTAACATTGGAAGGAGGAATCAGTGAGTGAAGTTCACGGGAACGGTGAGTGAGTGGGTGAATAAGTGGGTGAGTGAGTGAGTGGTTGAGTGGGTGAATGGGTGAGTGAGTGAGTGGGTGAGTGAGTGAATGCGTGAGTGGGTGAGTGAGTGAGTGAGTGGGCGAGTGATTGAGTGGGTGAGTGAGTCGGTGAGTGAGTGGGTGAGTGAGTGGGTGAGTGAGTGGGTGAATACGTGGGTGAGTGAGTGGGTGAGTGAGTGGGTGAGTGAATGGGTGAATGGATGAGTGAGTGAATGAGTGGGTGAGTGAGTGGGTGAGTGAGTGGGTGAATGGATGAGTGAGTGGGTGAGTGAGGGAGTGAGTGAGTGAGTGGGTGAGTGAGTGGGTGAGTGAGTGAGTGGGTGAATGGGTGAGTGGGTGAGTGAATGGGTGAGTGAGTGAGTGGGTTAGTGAGTGAGTGGGTGAGTGAGTGAATGGGTGAGTGAGTGAGTGAGTGGGTGAGTGAGTGGGTGGGTGAATGGATGAGTGAGTGGGTGAGTGAGTGAGAGAGTGAGTGAGTGGGTGAGTGAGTGGGTGCATGGGTGAGTGGGTGAGTGAGTGGGTGAGTGAGTGGGTTAGTGAGTGAGTGGGTGAGTGAGTGAGTGAGTGAATGGGTGAGTGGGTGAGTGAGTGAGTGGGTGAGTGAGTGAGTGAGTGAATGGATGAGTGAGTGAGTGAGTGGGTGAGTGAGTGAGTGGGTGAGTGAGTGAGTGGATGAATGGGTGAGTGGGTGAGTGAGTGAGTGAATGGATGAGTGAGTGAGTGGGTGAGTGAGTGAGTGGGTGAGTGAGTGGGTTAGTGAGTGAGTGAGTGAGTGGGTGAGTGAGTGAGTGAGTGGGTTAGTGAGTGAGTGGGTGAGTGAGTGAGTGAGTGAATGGATGAGTGAGTGAGTGAGTGGGTGAGTGAGTGAGTGGGTGCGTGAGTGAGTGAGTGGATGAATGGGTGAGTGGGTGAGTGAGTGAGTGAATGGATGAGTGAGTGAGTGAGTGAGTGGGTGAGTGAGTGAGTGAGTGGGTGAGTGAGTGGGTTAGTGAGTGAGTGAGTGGGTGAGTGAGTGAGTGAGTGGGTTAGTGAGTGAGTGGGTGAGTGAGTGAGTGGGTGAGTGAGTGAGTGGGTGAATGGGTGAGTGGGTGAGTGAGTGAGTGGGTGAGTGAGTGGGTTAGTGAGTGAGTGGGTGACTGAGTGAGTGAATGGGTGAGTGAGTGAGTGTGTGAGTGAGTGAGTGGGTGAGTGAGTGAGTGGGTGGGTGAGTGAGTGAGTGAGTGGGTGAGTGAGTGAGTGGGTGAGTGAGTGAGTGAGTGGGTGAGTGAGTGAGTGAGTGAATGGGTGAGTGTGTTGTTTTGACCTGCGGTATGCTGGTTAAACACAGTAAGAATGCTGTTTGTATGTAGCAGGGGCAGTGTGTGTTGTGGCAGGGCAGGGTTGGATACTGACACTCTCTGTAGCTGCTCATCATACGCCACGATCTCCGTGACCTCCCAGTCCCCAGAAGTGAGATAGCGCACGTCCTGACCTCCTCGCTCCTGTGTACCACGGCATCACCAAATCACCACCGAATCACCACATCACCACCAAATCATCACCAGATTACCGCAAAATCGACACTGCAAAACCACGATGATATCACCACCAAATCACGATCAAATCACCACATCACCACCAAACCATCACCAGATCACCGCAAAATCGACACTGCAAAACCACGATGACATCACCACCAAATCACGACCAACTAACCACATCACCTCCAAATCACCACCACATCACCTCCAAATCGCTATCACATCGCGACCAATCATTACTACATCAGGACCAAATGATCACAGTCACATATTTCACCGTAGCATCACCATGCACAATTCAGGCAACTGCGCCATAACCCCCAGCTGTTACCACGACGCGATCTTTACCACGAGGAGTTAAACATCTAAACGCAACCCATCGCAACATCCATGTGAACATGGGCCACAGCCATTGGTGCAGTGTAGTTGGCATGGGCGCGTGATGATGGCGGTCGTCGTGATCTGTGATTGCTGCACGACGGTTGTCCACGTCAGTCGCACGCGGTTGTTGTGGCTGTTGGCGCGGCGGTGTTGGTGGCGGTGGTGGCGGTGGTGGTGGCGGTGGTGGCGGTGGTGGTGGCGGTGGTGGCGGTGGTGGTGGTGGCAGTCGCCGTACCTGCGTGGTGAACATGGCGAGGTGGTAGAAGTCTCCACGGCCGCCCTGCTTCACCGGCAGCGGCAGGAAAAACCGCGTTCCCTCTGCCGAGAAGAGCGGCTTCTCACCCTATGGACAGCACGGACAAAGACAAAGGCCGCCCGCGTAGCTTTAGCGCACTTCTGGGGCAAGTGCGCCTGTTAGCAAGCACCTGTGAAGGCCCACACGGCACACGAGGAGGTGGGTGGCCAACACCACGGCCCGGGCCGCCTTTGGTTCGGGCAGGGAGTTTCATAACATTTGTGTGGCGATCCGTCAAACCTCGGTGGATTACGGGCAGCGTAGCCACCACCATCACCACCACCACCACCCAGCTTGTGTGGCTGACAGAATCGTGCGCCATGAAATATGGAACGCACTGCACGGTCCTGCTGGCTTGTGACATGACAGCTGACGGAGGGTCACGGCTCAAGCAGCCTACAGCAGCCCGGTGCTACAACGGAAATCCCCAACAACAACAACAACAACGATGCCGATCGGCCAATACCTTTTTCCCCAGTTCCCCTGCCCTGGGGCCAAGGTTCTTGGTTACCATTCCCTCCGTCCTTGCACACGTTGCACCTCGCTCAATGTCGTTGTCATCACGCAGGCCCGGAGGAGCACTTTCCTCTCTTACTTCCTCCCTGTCAGGCCCTTCGTCGCCATCGTCAGCCGTTGATATCCACTGCTGGACGAAGGCCTTCCCAACAACATCGCCACTACCTCGCGGTTCCGCCGTGCCCGTGAGCCGTCTTGCACCCGCGCGTGAACTCGTCCCATTGCTCCATCTCCCGAGGTAGTTGTCCTCTCGGGGCGAACGTCATTCCTGTGGCTGGCATGCTGTGAGCAGTCTTGTCCATCAGCCACCATCCCCTCTAGCAATGTTGAATTCCCAAGCCCACTTTACTTTTCTTAACCGTCTGCACAAGATTTTTTTAAATAAATTCAGATGTTTTTATTCTCTCATGCATGTCTTTTTTTTGCTTCTGTCTCTCAACGTAAATTCCAGGCACGCATCTCTCCAGAACTTTTTTTTCTACGCACTCCTAAGTTCTTGTTTAATTTCATCCGCCGTTTGTCACAGGCCCGTCAGCCGCCCGCTGGTAAATACCAAACACTATAAATAACGTGGGACGGCCTCTGGTCATTGTCGTTGCAGTTTGAGACTTCACGTCCTAAAATTACAATTATCTTGATTGGTGCGCTGCATAATTAACCCAGAAACCTGAATTAAAGTCGCAGCTAATGTCACTGGCAAATGACATCTAAATCAGTCGTGGCGTCTCTGCTTCATCAATCCGCACTGGCCGGCGTGGTGAAGTATTGCCTCACAACCTCCCCACCCCCTATGAATAATGACATGAGGTTGCCTTCATCCAGCAGTGCATTGACAAAGAGCTGTTGATTATAATAATATAACAGTCATTAGAGACTAGGCTGAGATCATTAACCCACTACATAGGACAAGCTGATTTAATTAATTATGGGTGGCCCATCATATTTAGAAGCTAGCATCTCGGGAAGTGCCAACTCCGTGATCAGAATCAGCCACCGTGAGGCCCTTGAATCAACTTGCAGGGTCATCGTCGTTGTCGTAGTTGTCCACACAGACCACTATCTAAATATTCACAACTTCAAATTACTCCATCATGGGCATGAAATGTTACCAACATGGTAGAAATAATACACGAAATGCAGGTGCAGCACCAGTGCACGGTAACGTCTCGTTGTACTGAAGACGAAATTGCCACCGCATTTTTTGTAAATTTACTTTAGGAATCGCGGGGAACGCCGGCACAGTGGAGTGAGTTGTTGAGACTCGCACTCCAGAGGTCGCTAAATGCGATCCCACCTCAGGGCGCTGCAGTCGAAACCACGGCGCAGGATCATGACCAACCAGCCATCGCTTCTGTCCACCCGGCGGCGCAAATGGGTCAACGCCGCAAGTTCAGTCGATTGGCAGGTCGCGTGTGGCGGGGCAAAGTGTGGGTATACTCCCACCCCTCACAAGACGTCTGGTCAGTCAGAATCAGAGTGACTTTACCGAAAGAACCAAAGAGTATGGATCCTTGCAGTCACGAAAACTTCAAAATCTAGAACAGAATCAGAGTCTTTGTTATGACTGGAGGAATCCGATGAGCAATGAAGCTCTTTTTTTCGTCGATGTCCGGCAGGCCGAAGAAGCCTTTTAGAAGGGCCTCTCTGGAGCTGGCTCGAGTTGGAGGCCCTTCCACCAGCAGTGGCGTGAACATTAAAGCGCACCTGAAACCTTGGCACGTGTTGCCGCAAGATGATGGATGTGCTGCTCTTGTCACGTGTGTACAGCGAGGTGCAACGTTCTGCCGATGTCTTTTTTTTTATTTAAATCGTGTGATCTCACGATGTTTCGCGAAAGGGGTTAACGGATTCAGACCTGGGGAGAAGTGACGGGGGTTCAAGGTTGCATGACTCTGAAGACAGCCCGTATTTTCATTCATAGAGACGAATCAAAAACATATTTAAGGTTAAAAAGAAAACAACAAATTGAATAATCTAAATTGAAAATATGCCGACTAATTAATTACCCATGAGGGCGAGGTGTGAGAAATATATTGTGAAATGAATCGTTCAAATTGGAAATGCGTAGATGCGTGTGTGCGTGTATGTGTGAATTGATGTATGTGGGGAGCGGTAGTATAGCGGTTAGCGCACTGCGCTATGAACCTGGCGATCCAGGTTCGATTTCCGCTCATGGCCAACACCAGTGACGATTATCTGAACCGGACCTGGGACTCCCCTAGGCCGACTCAGCCTCAAATGAGTACCTGGTGCGATGTGTAAACATAGTCACTAGGGAGACAAAGGCAGCCGGGCGTGGTGTTGGCCACCCACCCCCTCGTGTACCGTGCCGGCCTTCATTGGTGCTCGCTAACAGCACTTGCCCCAACAGTATGTTAAGGCTACACGGGGGATCTTTGTCTTTGTATGTATGCATGCGTGGGGAGCGGTGGCGCAGGGGTTAGCGTGATGCGTTAAACACCCGGATATCCGAGTTTGATTCCCGCTCACGGCCAACACCAGTGACGATTATCTGAACAAGTCATGGGCCTCTTCAGCCAATTGAGTACTTGGTGCGGTGTGTAAACATCGTCACTAGGCAAATATAGGCGAGCGGGCGTGGTGCTGGCCACACACCCCCTCGCGTGCCATTCCGGCCTTCATAGCTGTTATCCACTAACAGCATTTGCTCCAACAGTCTGTTAAGGCTACACAGAGGATATTTGTGTATGCACACAAATATCAGCACTGGGGAGACAAAGGTGGCCGGGCGTGTTTCTGGCCACACCACAGATAAGAGTTAATAGGTTTCCTGAATTGAGCATGCGCGCGCGTGAGCGTGTGCCACCGTGCGTGAGCTCCGCCACACGCGACCACACACACACGTGACCACACACACACACGCGAATACACACACACACGTGGCCACACATACGCGACCACACACACACGCGGCCGCGCACGCACGCGCGCGCGCTCACCTCTGTGACGTCCGCCACATCATTATCTCCACACCCAACGGCGCGAGCCGGCGAAAATATTAATATAGCAAAGTGTGCACATTAAAAAGTGTTACAAAATCCCACCACCCCCCTCCCCGTGCCCACCCCAAACCGCCCATCCCCCAACCCACACCGGCATCAAAGGCCAGAAGTGGTGATTAATGCTAGGGACTCTCACAGGTGAATAAGAGCAATGATTGGGTGGGGGAGATGGGGGGGGGGTATAGCTATATAGGCATGCAAGAAAGGTCGCAAGAGTGTTTCATCTTTAATTCATCCAATTAGGTGACCGGGAAGCTCAGAGGGCCCGTGACGGGTGAACGTCGGGCAGCACTGAACCGGAGGTTTTAAGAAACTCGCATCCGGGAAGCTGCAACGGCCGCGCCCGGAGATCGAATCGAACCGGCGAGTCCTCTGGGTCGCAGGTCCGGTGCGCTGCGGCAGCGTCCCTTCTGCCCCGCGCGGCTCTGAACGTGAACGGGATGATTGGCACGGGAGGAAGCACGCGTCCCGTGGTACGAACGAGCGCTGACTTGCGCTGGGAAGAGGCCGAGGCCGAGGCCCTCGGCGTCACCTTCCCGGGCTCTTTCCACACGACCCGAGTAGCGGGGCTGCCACCGTCACGTGACACCGGCTATGGCAGCGCTCGATTCAACAATGTGACGAGCACGCGACGGAGATATTCCCCTGGTTCCAATCGTCGCATTTCCGCATCCAACACCGATGGGCAGCCCTTGCCGGCAGCGCGCTTGCGTGACGGGACAGCCCTACACTGCTAACATTCTGACGAGAAACTTCAACAACGTCCATTTCAAAACTCAAGTCCAGCTCCCCGTCCTGGGATCGCGTTGGCTAAAAGAGTGCAACAACACGGGGGTCCAGAATAAACACCTCCTCGTCCGAGACCCAAAAAATCATCGCACCTCCTGGGTTTGACAATCCTCCTCCCCGAAGGCACCAGTGATGGAACCACGAACCGCATCAGAACATCACTAGGCCTGTGCATGAATGGTTAGTTAAAGTGAGCCACAGTGATGCGGCCGTGGCCATCCAAGCCACACTCTGTGCCGTATCGTAAACACACTGTAGTCCGCGCTCCTTCAACGCAGGAGGAGGAAGAGCAAAACGACACAAAGACACTTTCTTTCTCTCATGAAGCCTCCTCGCCGTGGCGAGCAGCAGACCTCGACATTGGCAATTCGTTTCCGAACACATTGACATTCACAAGAAGACAGATCGTACCTTTCGGATTGTGAAATATTTAAAGGGGTTAATCTGGAGATTTGTTTTTTTTATGCTACTGGTTCATCAAGCGCCACGGACACTTTTGAGACCGCAACATCTTGTGGATTGTTTGAGAAAATTCTAAATGTCCTCCAATAAACAAGCTGATATTGGACAATTTGTTTTTATTTTGCTGTGCTGGGGGAAATGAAGGCACAAGCAGCGTCATAATCGGCTGTGGGTTTTTTTGCCTGGGAATGTGAAATTAGATTCACTTCCCAGTGGAGCAATGTAATGTGCATCATTTCTGCTGGATCCCAAAACAAA